TGAATGAACGAATTACCGATCTGGCAACACCATATTCCTCCTGTGTTTATCTAACACATTAGACAGCGAGGAATTTCAGACGTAAACAGTCGCGCATAGCGACATGTCCCATACGATAAATATATATCGAGAGATATAATTGAATGTGAAGTCGCCGCAAGGACTTACACTGCTAAAACGCATGGTGCAGAAAATGTATTACACTGCTAGAACGCATGGTGCAGAAAATGTATGAATTTCGGGAAATTTTATTTTGGGAATCAGTGTAAAAATTTTTTACAGATATTAAAATCTGTAAATTAGAATATCTGATTCTATATTCTTTCTACATTAAAGGAGCGTTCATTTCGTTCGTTTATCATAAAAAATATAGAAATCACACCATTTTTAGAAACATGCTTACAATTTCATTGCTCTAGAAGGGCGGGCATTTAAATAAACTCCGTCCAGCTGCCCCTACCGGAAATTAAATGGCCCGTCCGATAAAGGTTAATAGCTTCATGTCACTCACAAATTAGTTTGATGTTACATACATTATTAACATTACAGAAAGCACATATTCCTGCCAGTTTTAATATGTATTTGGTAATCAACAAGTGTGTAACACCTATCAAAGTTTGACACTTCTCTGGCCATTATCTCTGTAACTGTTCAACTTTGGACATAGGTGTTTTGGGTTATATCGGCATACTTTAACATAAGGAACACCCTCCCGAAGTCTGGCACATTCCTCCTGGGACACCTGTATAACATTGAATAGTTGGGTGGTAGATGAATTGGAAAGGTCTTGGAAGGAATTCTGTCCCAGCATTTGCCTGTAGAGGCTGAGAAAGATTATAAAAACCCCAGTCAGGATAGCCAGTGTCGCAGTGTAGATTTTCATTAAGCAATTCATTTGATGGTACTTCAGTTATTGGATCATTTTCTTACTTGATAACTTCAATACAGACACAATGTACTTTACTTAAAACATCTTTGGCAACTTACAAGATTACAAAGACAACAAATGAACCCAACAAAATGAAAAGAATAACATGAAACAACAAAATACGGCGATGGTACCATCAGGTACTGGATGTTGTGTCGCCACGGGAGGGCGATCTCCTGCCAGGCCGGTGGCTGTTAAAGGCGGGGCGGGAATCCTTGGGACTGGAGCCTCGGTCTCTCGGTTTGGTGTTGAGCCCCTTGAAGCGGGCGTGAAGGTGGTCCTGTCCGGTGCTGAGTGCAGCAACTTGGCGGGAGAGGTCAGCGATCTCCTGCTGAAGTGTGCCGTTGTCCGTGGTTTGACCAACGCTAGCGAGCGCCGGCTGGACTTCGACATCGGAGATACGGTCCGCACAGAGGGCTGCGGCCTCCAAGTTGCTCTCGTTCTGGCCGGCGAGGAAGCTCTGCACATTGCGGGGTAGCGGGCTGGTCCAGACACTTCGGATGACGTCATCAGACACGTCTGGTGCTAGACTCTTGAGGTACCTCAGGAACTGAGATGGCTTATGGTCGCCAATTTCATCGGCCGTGAGGAGCTGCTGGATGCGCTGCTCTGGCGATAGGGATAGCCACCTCACAAGCTTGGTCCTCAGTAGGGTGTAGGGGTCTCCTTTGGGTGGAGAGGTGATGATATCCACCACCTCTGTGGCGTACCGATAGTCCAGCTGTGAGATGACGTGGCAGAACTTGATGCGCTCACTGCTAATGCCGGCCAAGGTGAATTGCGCCTCGGCCTGGGCGAACCACACGGCTGGTCGCTCGGGCCAGAACGGCGGGAGCTGCATGGCCACTCTGGACACTTCAGCTTGTGAACTGTCTGCGGCATCCATGCTCAGTCGGGGTCACCAATGTGGGATTGTCGATGTTCCAAATGGCAACCACGTAAAACTGTAACAGTTGTGTATATTAAATCGTATAAACTGAATTTACAGAATAGCTGCGAAGCTATGTGGAATGTTCAAAAGTTGGCTGGCCCTCATAGGGCAGTTTGTTCCACTGCGAGTGTGCTGGCAGATTTTGCTCCTCCGTAGTAGGCGGAGTCTTACAACCGTTCAGCGCCTGTCTGGACGGTGATGTAGTGCTGCGCGCGCCGGTAGAAACGGCTGTCTCCATTGGTTGCTGGAGTTGCTGCAGCCGCCTGGTTGCTGGAGACTTGCAGCTACTACTTCGGTTGCCTGGTCGCTGGAGACTTGCAGCAACTACATCAGCTGCCTGGTCGCAGTGATGCCTCTGATGACCGGTCACTCTGAACTGAATGTGATCACTGACAAATGCGAGCTTTGGGCTCCGCCTTTTATATCATGCTTGGTGGGCGGAGCGATTGTGAGTGCTGTGTAAATATGAGCACGATGTCCAGCAATGTGATATTCACTTAGGAGTGAGTGTTGTCTGAAAGACTGGCGAAACAGCGTGTTATGTGGGGATGTTCCCACAGTTCCAACAGAAAGTTCAAAATTGTATGTACACTAGACCTATAGGTGTATTTTTAAAATGGTTTGACCAATATTTATGGACTGTTGGCAGCGTATGTATTTCATCTTGAAGAACACTAACAATGATATACAGCAGTTTAGAAGCTTTTATACAAGGTGTTTCAAAAAGAGCTTTACACGTTTGAAAGCTTATATAGATTTATACAGAGGACATACACAACGTTTTGAACTGTCATGATGTAGCAAAACACACCAAGTTTAGTTTCATGCACGTGGTACTGTAGTACCCGATACCACCACGGCGAGTGCTCCTACAGTTGAAATCAAGATAAGTTAAAAGATCATGAGGAAACATCTGTAACAACAAGTAATCATTTTGAAATTTTATCTAACCTCAATGAGGTTATTAAGTCTACTGCAGCAACGAAGGAAGAAATTCTCAAACCAAGTAAAACTGTATGAAATAATATCAACAGAAGTAATTTTTAAGCAAGAGACAGTAAATACAAGGCTGATGCAAATGGACAGATGATTAATAACATTGCAGTGATAATAAATGGTCTAGTAACATCTAATAACAATATAGTTCCAAACAGTGACATCTTACATTCATATGACGGTGAGGAAGCCGTTGAGGCTAATGCAAAGAATGAGAAAGAGGCTCCCAAGGAGAAAGTTGCTGATTCAGCAGCAAGTGCTTCAAAGAACAAAGGAAACCACACTATATTAATTATTGGAGACAGCCATGTAAAGAGATGTGCAAGTAAACTGAGAGAAAATCTTGATAAAACTTATAAGGTAATTGGAGTTATTAAACCAGGAGCTAATTTATTTACCCTAAGTAATTCTGTAAAAGATCCTATTTTAACCTTAGAAAAAAAAATGAGTTCTTGTATTTAGTGGAGGTGCAAACGATATCTCAAAAAATAATTCTAAAATGGGTCTAAGACACATTTTAAACTTTGTAAGTAATAATACTCATACTAATATTATTCTATTAGGTATACCACATAGACACGACCTGGCAGATTTGTCTTGCGTAAATAATGAGATAAATGCCTTTAATAGGAAACTGTTTAAAATCATGAAATGTCATGAACATATCACAGTAATGTTCTGTGACTTAAACAGACACTTCTATACGAGACAAGGTATGCATATGAACAGGAGAGGAAAACTTAAACATATAGCAGCAACCTGTGTGACAGTTTCTCAATCTAATAAAAATTTGACCCCAATTTGCTTGCTCTGGAAGGAATCTGAACATTATAATGCAAATCTGCAAGCTGACAAGTGTCCAGCTATGAATGACTCAGTAAAAACAACTACAGAGCAAAAAAATGAACCAGTATGCAAATCAAATAGACTCCAAAAACTACCAGGTATGAAAAATAAGGATTTTTTAAGGTAAATAAAGGTGCCCCGAAAAGAAATATTTCCTTAAACGGAGTAACCAAAAAAGAAAATGATATCAAATTCTTTAATATCTTCCATCAGAACGTTAGAGGTTTAAGGGAGAAAGCAAATGAGCTATTAAGTCATCTACACCCAGCCTCCCCACACATATTGTGTCTTACAGAACATCACATGAATTTTTTGGAATTACAACAGTTAAACATAGATTCTTATAAACTAGGAGCAAACTATTGTAGAACCTTGTATGAAAAGAGAGAAGTATGCATCTATCTACACACAAGCTTGAAATTTGTAAATACATACCTAAAAATATTGTAAAGAAGAAGATTTTGAGGTATGTGCTGTTAAGTTAAACCTGAGCTCCAACAGACTTTTTATAATTACAGTATATAGAGCTACAATATTTAGAAATCTATATACCTCAACACAAGAATATATTATTTGTGGGGATATTAAAATAAATTACCTTCTTGATAGTGAAAAGAAAAACAAATTGGATACCTTATTGAGAACTTATAATTTAATAAGTACAGTAAATTTTCCCACCAGAGTTCAAGGAAATTCTGCTACAGCCATTGATAATATTTTCATCAGTATTACTAGAAGGGAAAATTATTCTGCAAGGCCTATAATAAATGGATTGTCTGATCATGATGCACAATCCATAACATTTAAAGCAATAAACATGAGAACACATGCTAAACAATTTAAAATGATAAGGAAAATAAACAAACACACAATAAATGACTTTTTAATTAAGCTCAGTTATGAAACATGGGCCTCAACATTTTCTAGTGATGATGTTAATATAATGTTTAACTCCTTTTTAGACACTTACTTGAAAATTTACTATTCCAGTTTTCAAAAAAAAAAAAAAAAATTAAAATTTCAAATAAAATAAGTGATTTGATTACTATAGGAGTAATAACATCCTGTAAACGTAAAAGAGTACTCTATATGGCATGTAGAAAAAAGTAATAATTCAGAGCATTCAATTGACTGAGCACTTAAATAACAATAACATTTTAGTGGAAGAACAATTTGGTTTAAGAACAAAATCTTCAACAGATGAGGCTATATACAAGTTAGCGAATGAAATCTGTAAGATTTGATTTGTTTCATTCTGTTCTGTCACACTAACAATTACAAATATAAATCACTCCATCCAATGTGACCTGTAAGTTTATTACTACATGAAAAACTTAACACCCTTACATGTTTCGGTCTCTGCGGACCATCTTCATAGGGCAAACATCACTACAAATAGGAAACCACCTTCACATGAGTTGTTTAGACGTAAAGTACCTACACTTATATGTTACAATGCATGGTACACAAAATAGAACATTTTACAAACACAGCAGTTTCCTGGGAATGTAAAGTTTTTAAAAATTATTTGCTCGTGGCTGCTCTGCTGTTTTCACTGTGAAAACAGCACAGCAGCCATGAGCAAACCCTGGAAGGTATAAAGAACCTCCACATCAAGATAGACAGGTGGCACAATATCTGCCCCATACAAGAGGGACGATGGGAGGACGAACACGAGCCTGCATGGTTTATGAATTTTAATTTTTGACAATGCAAAATTTTTAATTAGCATCAAGAAATTTTAAATAATTTTTAAAAACTTTACATTCCCAGGAAACTGCTGTGTTTGTGAAATGTTGTATTATGTGTACTATGCATTGTAACATATAAGTGTATGTACTTTACATCTAAACAACTTATGTGAAGGTGGTTTCCTATTTGTAGTGATGTTTGCCCTCTGAAGATGGTCCGCAGAGACCGAAACATGTAAGGGTATTAAGTTTTTCATGTAGTAATAAACTTACAGGTCACATTGGATGGAGTGATTTATATTTGTAAATCTGTAAGACCTTAAACAGCAAAAACTTAATAGGAGGCATTTTTTGTGACCTAGAAAATCACATGTTAACACATGTGTGTTAATCATGAGGTTCTGTTGTCAAAATTGGAGTTCTATGGGATAAAGGGTAAAGCTAAACTATGGCTTGAATCTTATTTCAGAAATAGATATCAAAGGGGTTTAATTACAAATATAAATCTTAATCTCAATGAATTTTTTACATGGGGCAAAATTAGACATGGTGTCCTGCAAGGTTCGATTCTGGGTCCATTGTTATTTCTCATTTATATAAACGAGTTACACAAAACTATAAATGATAAAACTGTACCTATATTATTTGCAGACGACACTAGTTTGTTAGTTAAAAGTTCAAACTATGATGATCTCTGTGTAAATATAAACAGTGCTTTTCACAGTATAAATGAATGGTTCAAAGTAAACCAACTTTATATAAATTTAAACAAAACCCACTACATTCAATTTACAGCTAGAAATAATAATCCTAAATCTGAAATAAAAATTGTATATGATAAAAAACAAATTACATCTATATCCAATATTAAATTTCTTGGAATGTTCATTGATGACACAATGAGCTGGAAATACCACATTGAGTATATTAGTTCTAAACTAAGAGCAGTCTGCTACATAATAAGATCGCTTAAACCATACACATCCATAAATACCTTAAAAATGGTTTATCACTCTTATTTTAATTCTATTATAAATTATGGTTTACCCTTTCGGGGTAACTTACCGCAAAGTATAAACATTTTTAGAATGAAAAAGAATATAATTAGAATTATGTTTGAACGCAGAAGGAGGGATTCGTGCAGGAACTTATTTAGCGAATTAGAAATCTTGCCTCTGGCATCCCAGTACATACTATCTCTTATGCTCTTTGTGATAAAAAACAGAAACAAATTCATAGTAAATTCAGAGATTCATGGAATGAATACTCAACAGCAAAATAATCTCCATCAGCCTCTTGTATAAAACTGTACAAATGGTATATGGTTTGCCATTACTTTTACTACTAAAATTAACTTATTAATTATATTGTATATGTTTATCAGTATTTTATACAAATGTATATGTTATTGGATGACAACTGTAATCCTTAGTTGTGACTGTAACTAGGACAATCTCCACATCCGCATGAGAACATACTCTCAACAGGATTTATGGAAGGCGAATAAATGAAATGAAATTAAATTAAATTAAATTAAATTAAATTAAATGGCTACTTTCACAGGTGCAGAGCGTGCTCGTTGTGTGTTTTGGTTCGAAGAAACGAAGTCTGCTACACAAGTTCAAAGGAAATTTCACACTCAGTATTGCAAGGAATCTCCCAGTAGGCCTACAATTTACTCCTGGCACAAGCGGCCTCCGTAGTCTGGAGGTAACGTTCTCACCTCATGACTCGTAATACGCGGGTTCAAATACCTGGCGGAGGTCGTCGAATTTTTAAGGGCGGAAAAATTCAGGGAACAAGTCCTCCGGCAGGGACTTTAAGCCGTGGGTCCCGTGTCGTAGCTTTACGGCACGTAAAAGAACCTCATATCTCCAAAGGAGGTCACTGAGCGAAATTACGGATGTTTCCCGCCCAACAGCAGTCTCTAATACCTCTGGTAGATGGAGGAAGCATTATAGATACCTCACAGCTAGTAGAGCCGGTCTCGCTGGCTGGGCGGGACTGATGGTAAGCACCAGTACCGGTAGGCTATAGAGACTGGTAGAAATCATAGAGGGAAGCACAATGGACCAATACAGGTCTAAGTGCATAGGGAAACCCACCCTCTCCAATAACTAACTAACTACTCCTGGCACAAGAATTTTGTTCAGACCGGAGTTCTGTGCGCCATGCCAAGCCACCTGGTCGGCCACATGTTTCTGATGCTACGGTGGAACAGATTAGGGAGAGCTTTGTTTGAAATCCACGAAAGTCAACGTAATGTGCATCTCAGGAAACTGGTATTCCAAATGTTACTGTGTGGTGAGTGTTACAAAAACGTTTACACTTAAAAGCATAGAAAATATCCATCGTTCAACACCTTACAGATGCAGATAAGGTGGTTTGTAAGGAATTATGTATGCAAATGTTTCATCAGATACAAGATGATGAGAAGTTTCTGGACTCCGTAATTTTCAGTGATGAGAGCACATTTCATGTCAGTGGTCATGTCCCACAACTGCAGGATCTGGGGCAGCGAAAATCCATGTGTCTCCCTGGAACATGTTCGTGATAGCCCAAAGGTGAACGTGTTTTGCGCCCTCAGCAAAGAAAGGGTGTACGGCCCCTTCTTCTTCATGGAGATGACCAATACTGGTATCGTATATCTGGACATGTTCCATGAGTTCCTCATTCCACAGTTAGACGAAGATGACCAAGAAGGACACATTCACTTCCAGCAAGACAACGCACCCCCTCATTACCTTGGAGAAGTGCATGAGTACCTCAACACCTGTTTCCCAGGTCGGTGAATTGGTATAGTGGCGCCGATATCATGGCCACCTCATTCCCCGGATCTTAGTCCCCTGCATTTTTTCTTATGGGGATTCGTTAAAGATCGAGTGTTCGATCTTTAACGATGTAATATTACATGTAGTTACAGTCACAACTAAGGATTACAGTTGTCATCCAATAACATACACATTTCTATAAAATACTGATAAACATATACAATATAATTAAGAAGTTAATGTAAGATTTCATTATTTTTGTCCAGTTCTAACGAAACTTGAAATATGTCAACAGACTGCACTAAAACTCCCCAATACTTATAACTCAATGCCTTACTCCTTTAAGAAAAGTTTATGTTTCTTTGTCATAACGTATAAGTTTTCAGGGAAGAAAATAACTTCATTGGACGGTAGATGGCTTAAAATATCAAGTTGTGGACCTTGTATAATCTCTGTAATGGCATATTATGAAGAAAAATTAAAAATTAGTGTCTATACAGAATCCCCAACTTTCAAGCCACTGAAAACTGCAAGTGCATCTAGCAAACATTTAACCTTGTGAGAAAATATCCAGTTATTATACTTAGAACTGGCTTACAGTGGATTACTGAAATTGCTTGGTTGTGCACCATTGTCCATCCTCTTTGTGACCAGGTGGTTGTCACCTTGCAGGAGGAAAACAACAACAATGTGGTGTCCCAAGGTGGGGGAGGGGGGACAGCATCAGACATTGTGACAAGCAGCACCACTCCAGTGAAAAGTGCCACTTCACTCCTGGACTCTCGTGCCAAAAAGTTCACCATTGCAGCAGCCAACCCTCTACTCGCAGGTTAGGTCGACATCTGTGTGAACTGAGTTCTGAAACAATGTGACAGATTCAGTGTTTATTCTGGGTACTTGCTTTTAACATTCTCTAAACCTGGTTGTTTTGCAATCATATGATGCTGAAACATATATAAACACCCTTGTGTATGTGCATATCATGTGATCTAAGCTACTCTGTTGTGATTTTTCAAATAATGGAAATGGTAGAATTGGATTGTAAAATAAGTTTGTCTTTCAACAGCATATTGATAGTGTGTTGTGAACTCTCTTATGTTGGCCAGATTCATTTGACATATTTTTCCCCTCAACAAGAGTCCCATTTTTGGGGTTATTATTGTTAGTGGTAGGAAAGGATTAATGTAATGATGAATCTGAATTAATGATGATCATATTTTGCATGGACAACAGAGTAAATGGTGAACCAATTATAAACCGTCAACAAGAATTAAATGTTGTATATGAAATATTTTAACCATTATACTTTATTTGATAATGAAGTGATGAAAACTATCAGGTAGAACATGTAGTAGTTGGAAACTTTATTTACTAGATAAAATATGCCTTATGTATTTCAGCGCTATAGGGCCCTCATCAGAAACTTACCTGTTAAAGGCGAGATTACTTAGTGTACAGAGCGAAATATGTTAAGTGGATCCCTGTCACCACAGCATGGCGCGTCCTCAGGTTGTGGATGGGGGTGACACCCTCCAGTTTTTGAGGAAAGCTGTGAATTTACTGATTAAGCAGTCGCGGACAGCCGGCAAGGGGTGGCCTTCCAGCTTGAGGGTTGAGTGTGGGGCTATCAACTCCTCAGCGTGAAAAATCATTATGTTACGAAAATGAACACAAAGCCTCGGACCTGGACGGATTCTTTGGATAAACGACCTAAGCTAATGAAAATGGATATGAGATTTGGCATTTGGAATTTACGAAGTTTGTATAGGGCAGGTTCGCTCAGGGCAGTGGCAGAAGAAATCTTAAAATATAAGTTAGATTTAGCGGGAGTACAGGAGGTCAGATGGGATGGAGGTGGCATCGCACCAGCAGGAGACTATACATTTTTCTATGGAAAGGGGAAAGGAAATCATGAATTAGGTACAGGTTTCTTCGTGCATAAGAGAATCGTATCAGCAGTTAAGAGGGTAGAATTCGTTAGTGATAGGATATCATATATAATACTGTGACATGTTGCGCAACGGAGGACCCCTACCTCCCCAGCGGCACGTGGCAGTAACATAGCGCTCCCTCCCTCCCCTCCGCGGTGACATAACGCGCAACGCGCGGTGACGTAAGACGGCGCGAGGTAACAGCGTTGCTAGGCTATACGCAAACAGGGTGACACGGCACCGCTTCCTACTGTGACGTGGCGGGCAACAGGTAACAGCAAATGGTATAAAAGCCAGCTGATCAGCAAGCGAGGGCCAGTGTGTTATCAACAGTTCTCAAGGTAGCAGCCTGCGAATTGAGCTGGAATATAGCAGCCGTCGCGGAAAGAAGAACCGGACGTGTGTGTAATTGTGTAATTGGGAATGTGTGAGACAGAGAGACTTGTATAGCTCCCGTACTGTGAATATGTATAGCCTACTGAAGATAGAGTGAACTGATTTGCGCATAGGGTTATAAATCGTGAAACCCCGCAACGGTGTAAACAGATTAATGCGATTAGGGTTATAAAGTGTGAAACCCCGCAACTGTGTGATAAATAATTGTAGCCGTTACTTGTAGGTTGTTGAATAAACCAATTAACAGTCCGAACGGCGTCTTCAGTAACGAAACACGTTACACTGGTGTCAGAAGTGGGATTTGGACTTACACACGTGACCGACAAGATACAAACTCAAGACACGTTACGCTGGTGTCAGAAGTGGTTACGAACTTACACACATGACAAATAATTGAATTATTGTGCATCGAGTGGTTTACTGCTACAACATGGACATGGAAAAAGTGATGGAACGTCTGTTGTTCGCCCAGGAGCAAATGGCGGCCAGACAGAAAGCCGATAGGGAGGAAGAGAGGAGGAAAGAGAAGGAAGAGATGGAGGAATGTAGGAGGAAAGAGGAGGAAGAGATGGAGGAATGTAGGAGGAAAGAGAAGGAAGAGATGGAGGAAAATAGGAGGAAAGAGAAGGAAGAGATGGAGGAAAATAGGAGGAAAGAGAAGGAAGAGATGGAGGAAAATAGGAAGAAAGACAAAGAAGATTTGATGGCCAAATTAGACTCCTATCAAGAAAAGGCGGAGATCGGCCTCAACGAATTACTGGCCAGATTGGAGGATGTCAGACAGACCAACCGAAGAGAACTGCAGGAGATGATGGACGTCAACCAAGCCAGGACAGACAAAAAGGCACGTCCAGAAGGAGAAAAGCCGGCCTCAGCGAACAGGAAACTTGAGGCGGCAGGGTTACGAGAGGTACCCATACAAGACACTGAAGTAATGCCGGTTGGAGAACCGAAGAAGAAAAGGCGTAGGGACCGAAAGTGACGAATTATGAAGAATCCGACACGGGAAAGTTCTGGGCCCCAGAAGAATTTGGCCGTAGCCCGCAGAGTGGCGAGCCTCCGCGTGGAAGTGATTCGGCAGAAGAACACCAGCAGGAAGGTGTCCCGCTATGCAACAGCGGCATGGCGTCGGAGGAACATCTTCAGGAAATCTTGGACCCGAGGAGATCATGTGTCCCGGATGAAGCTGGCTGCCATCTGTAGGAAGATATCCCGTCGCGCGACAGTGGCACGACGTTGGAGAAATGACTTCAAGAAGGAAACTCCCCAGGGAACCTTCGGATGCCAGAGAAAGGACTTGGCGCCACGGTCCCGTACCAGCAAGTGGCTGGAAGACCAGGAGGAACAACGACGTCAGCGAGAGCAAACAACGCATCAAGAGCTGTTACGTCGACATAAGGAACCTCCGAAGAAAAAAATGATCAAGGATTGAACCTTGTGGAGGGGACGACCCCCTCCAAAACGGAAAAAGAGACTTCAAGCAGAGGAGGATCTGGTAATGTAGAAGAACCGGCCTCCCCAGAGAGAGTGAATGTGCCATAGAATGAAAGTGATGGATGAATGGGACACAACTGGATCTTCTGGCGAGCTGAAAGGAAACCGCTCGAGACGAGTTGGTCTTAAAAAGGGAGCGGTTGTAACGGCCGAAGAACAGATGCTGCAAGAACAGCCTCCGAAGCAAAGGAACGGGGATGTACCGTTAGGCTATTCGGGATGAACAGCCTTAAGGAGGGAGCAGTGTGACATGTTGCGCAACGGAGGACCCCTACCTCCCCAGCGGCACGTGGCGGTAACGTAGCGCTCCCTCCCTCCCCTCCGCGGTGACGTACCGCACAACGCGCGGTGATGTAAGACAGCGCGGGGTAACAGCTATACGCAAACACGGTGACGAGGCACCGCTTCCTACTGTGACGTGGCGGGCAACAGGTAACAGCGAACGGAATAAAAGCCGGCTGAGCAGCAAGCGAGGGCCAGTGTGTTATCAACAGTTCTCAAGGCAGCAGCCTGCGAGTTGAGTTGAAATCTAGCCATCAGAGAGTTACGAGTTGAAATGTGGCTATCACCGAGTTCAGTAGTAGTTGAGCGAGTGTGTTATCAACAGTCCTCAAGTCAGCAGACTACAGTTGGAGTATAGCAGCCGTCGCGGAAAGAAGAACCGGACGTGTGTGTAATTGTGTAATTGGGAGTGTGTGATACAGTGATACATAGCTCCCCTACTGTAAACGTGTAGACTACTGAAGAGAGAGTGAACTGATTTGCGCATAGGGTTATAAATCGTGAAACCCCGCAACAGTGTAAACAGATTAATGTGATTAGGGTTATAAAGTGTGAAACCCCGCAATTATGTAATAATTAATTGTAGCCGTTACTTGTAGGTTGTTGAATAAACCAATTAACAATCCGAACGGCGTCTTCAGTAACGAAACACGTTACAATACTAAAAGGTCGCTGGTGTGATGTCATTGTTATGAATGTTCACGCCCCAACAGAAGATAAAATTTATGACATAAAGGATAGATTCTATGAAGAACTAGAACATGTATTTGATAAATTCCCGAAGTACACNGAAGACATTTTCAAACCAACAATTGGGAATGACAGTTTGCATGAAATTAGTAATGATAATGGAGTTACAGTTGTAAACTTTACCACATCAAAAAATCTTACTGTCAAAAGTACAATGTTCCCACATCATAACATCCATAAATTTCGATGGGAAGATACACAATGAAATAGAACATACTTTGATAGATAGGAGACGGCACTCAAGTATACTTGATGTCCGATCATTCAGGGCAGCAGATTGTGATAGTGACCACTACCTGGTGGTGGCAAGGGCTAGGGAAAGACTGGCAGTGAGCAAACAAACAACCCACAGAGTTAATATGGAGAGGTTCAATCTCAAGAAATTAAATGTGGTAAGATGTTAAAGAACAGTATTGTGTTGAAATCTCAAATAGGTTTGCGGCTTTGTAAAACTTGGAAAGTGAGGTGGATGTTAATGAAGCTTGGGAAATTATTAGAGGGAATATAAAAATGTCTGCCAAAGAGAGTCTAGATTATTATGAACCGAAGAATAAGCCATGGTTCGATGAAGGATGCTCAGAATTATTAGATCAAAGAAAGCAGGCCAAATTGCAATGGTTACAGGATCCAAGCAGGTTAAATGGGGATAATCTGAACAATATAAGATGTGAAACCAGCAGGCATTTCAGGAACAAAGAAAGGGAATATCTGAAAGACAAAATTTATGAGCTTGCAATGAACAGTAAGAACAAGAACATTAGAGACCTGTATAGAGGAATAAACGACTTTAAGAGGGGTTACCAGCCTAGCAGTAACTTAGTGAAGGAT